TCTTCAGGCCCATGGAACTTCAAAGTCACATCTTGAAAATGCCAAAATGTAAACAAGACAGCACTGTTCTGAAATGGGTTTATTTCCTTTTTTAACACTTTTTTAACATAAAACAAAATAAACATTTTACTGCCATTTTTTTATGACCAACTAAGAAAATTGATGAGATGAGAAAAGTATCAATAGAACAGTGTTAAATGTCCAATTTCCTCTATTCTGAGATTCTGAACATAGTGGATGATTGAATCTGACAAACTGCAATGATAAGAGTTTATTTCAGTTTTTGACACTTGATTACACAATACATGATAACAAGTTTACCATCATTTTTACATAATCAACTAACAATGTTGTAAAGATGCAGGAAATGTCAAACAAACACTTTTACATATCTTATTACTTAAATAATAAGGCTATTTACATGCCTAAGAATTAAATCTGAGGAAATCTGAGGAAATGTGAAAAAACAGCATAACTTCTAAAATAATGCCCCGATTATGCTGATTTTCGAACTCAACCTGCGTTTTAGTAAGACTGACCATTCCTGTGAGTTTATTGACAATTGGGCTTTCTGTTTTTCTTATAATGTGTTTACAGTGTTGCATATATGCTGAACAATGAAAAAACCGCATAACTACTAAAATAGTGGCCCGATCATGCTGATTTTCAAACTTGACCTGCGTTTTGGTAAGATTGATTACTCCTGTGAGTTTCATGACAATAGGCCTAACAGTTTTCCTTAAAATGTGTTTACAAGGTTGCATATATGCTGAAAAGTGAAAAAAACAGCATAACTTCTACAATAATGGCCTGATCATGCTGATTTTCGAACATGACCTGCGTTTTATGAATATTCATCAGCTCTGTAAATATAAAGCCAAAAAGTGAAACTGCCTTCCACTTATTGTGTTTACAAGGAAAGTGCACGGCGCCGGCGACGGCATCGGCATCGGCGACGACAGACGCAGGTGATGGCAATTTGTACAGACACATCTGTGTCTGTACGTAAAAATATGATTGTCATACCTACCTGCACAGAAAGGATTCTGGAGATTGAAATTGAGGGCAAACTCATGGGAGACCTGATATTCTGGAGGAATTTTTGCACCAAATCCTAAAGCTGGAAACATTTTATCACTGAAAAATAATAATAATGAAAGTACATAGCTATGTAAATTACATTCATGCTAAACACTTTTAAACAAATAAAACTTGTATGATTTCTTTAATTAGCACATTAAACATTTAGTAAATTAATTGAATAAATTAATATTCTCAAGTGAATTAAGAAGCTAAGGAAATTCTTTAAGGACTTACAGCTTTTAAATTTACCCTATTTACATTTTTTTCTGAATATGGATTGTTTTACCATACGGTATTTAAAAAAAAAAACACCAACTGCACAAACCTATCATAGTCTTGTATCACTGCCCCTACTGTAGAAATAGCTTGCATGCACTCATTGGGCTGGTATGGGTTAATATAGTGATGAGAGGACGCATTCTTAGGGTCTCCGTTTGATGCAGTGAAATCAACCCCAACCTGACAAAGAAATCATCATATAAATATACCATTGCACCAATAGTCTGTTCTTTCTTGCTTAATTTGCTTAATTTACTAGTATATTTGAAACTAAATTAAGTAGAAAAAGCAGCAAGACAATAAGGCAAGTTTATGATGAAATTTTAAGCAACAAGAGCCAGCTGAATATCTATAAATCAAACTTTAAATTTTTATTTCTTGGGAATTACCTTGTGCTGTGATTCAGGGAAATTCAACAAAATCTTTCTTGATATTGTCTCCAGAACAAAGATATTAACTACACATTCTTTCCATACACTTGATATTAACTATACTATTAATACCGTAAAATTGATCTGTATCCCTCCAAACACATAATCCAGAAAGGAGTATTCTTTGGTTATCTGAAATTTTATGACAGAAAAATAACTAGAGGATCAGAGAGGCGATACCGCCTCCGAATATTGTACCACCAGCTGGAGCAAGCGCATTCGTATAGACCCCCATATACACAAAAGAAGGGACACAGCCACCAGTCTTATGCTTGACAAGCTGTAAAAATGCAATCAACAAGAATTTTCAAAATATGCAAAAAATATATATAACTTAAAATGGTACAATCAAAGTTAAGTTCATCATAAGGTAGGTCAAAGGTCAATTTCAAGGTCACAGTAAATTGCCAGTATATGACTTCCTATTCAACTTTAATGGTAACTGTGGACCTATCTCTGCCAGGTTTGGAGTTAAAAGAGAAAGAAATTTGCAAAGTTCAGTTCATAGTGAAAAGTAGGTCAAAGGTCAATTTCAAGGTCACATTTAGATTGCCAGTATATGACTT